ATTTAAAGTGTTTGTGATTGAAACTTAGCGATGTCGATTTGAAATAGTTAACGAAGTATTAGAAATTAACATCATGATTATTTTATCTAAACTCTAAAAAACAATGTATTTCGCGCCTGTACGCGCGAAATTTTTTGACCCTTCACGCTTGGTGAGGTATTTCGCAGAGGTCTGGAATTTCACTTGACACCGGTATTATCCTGCAAAATCCGTATTATGATGTACATTGTACGCATCTTATCGCGAATGATCGTTTAATGACCGTAGGTGGATACAAATAGCGAAAATAACTACGCATAGTAACGCTTGCATGTGCTTACTTCGTTTGGTATATTTATTAGCATTGCTCGTTGTGACGAATAGATTCCACGCTACCGTTTTGTAAACATACGAAAGTTAAGTAGGCAATAATCACGACCAAAGTTTGTAACATTGATCTCTCTGTCGACTTGTTCAAGGTTTAGTGATCATTGTATTTATATGAAACGATAAAATTTGCTTATCAATATCAAGTTCATTTCGTTTCAACTCATCAAAAATTATATGTATGTTATCCATTGACTGTGCTTGGATCAAATGTTTGGAAAATTTTGTAGCTACGTTATACCAACATTAATCCCTCTATTGTATAACACACGTGGGACGAACGCTAAAAATGCCTAGTCAGCAATGAATGAGCAACGATATGATCGTCTAAGAGAAAAAACTAAAACCTACGTTTTCAGCCCTGGGCAAGGTTAAGAAGGAACATGAACTTTATGAAGTGAATCGTTTGAATAAGGAACGTGTAATTGTTGATACAGATCTGTTGCTCCCATTGTTTAATGATAGATGTCAGTACAAGTCCTGTTCTGGAACAAGTAAAGTAACAAATGTTAAGATTGAAACTGGGTGCTGCCACATTTCCTGGGAATGTTCAAATGAACGTTTAGGATCATGGTCATCATCTCCCGTGCTGTGCAACAAAGGTGGACAAGATATTTATACAAATAGTCTGTTGTTGGCTATTGGAATTTTAATATCAGGAAACAGTTTTGATAAGCTTGAACTTTTTTTCAAGTTCTTGAACTTAAATATGATTTCACGATCTACATATATGTGCACACAAATGCTTTATCTAGTCCCTGGAATAAAGGCCTTTTGGGAAGAATTGAAAGCAGATATCTGGCAAATACTAACACAAGAACCAGTGGTACTTTGTGGTGACGGGAGAAATGATTCGCCAGTTCATAACACCAAGTATTGTGTATACATTTTGATGGAGCAATTTCTGGATGTAATTATTGATATGGATGTTGTTGACAGTCGGGAAACTGGGGGAATATCAACTAACATGGAAGTATTTGGATTGAAAAGATTAATGGAAAAAATTGTTGGAAAGATCATTACCTCTGAAGTGGTGACTGATGCATCAACATCTGTCATTGCCCTTGTTAAAAAGATAAAAGGTAAATTAAATCCCTTTGTGCTTATTCAATTGAAGCACAGAAAGAAAATTTGTCATATGTTATTGTTTTGTAGAATTTGTGGCCATAAAAGTTAATAAGTTGTTCTTTTCATGCCTATTGAATCTGAACTTTTTTGTGAGTTTTGCCGTTGAATGAACTGCATGTTGTGTTATATTAAGGTGTCTGCCTACAGTTCTCTAAAATTTTAGATATTTTACGTAACCTTCACTTTCAAACTAATTTATTTATATTTTCATACTGGATACAATTAATACAGGGTAATCAGTTCAAATTTCAGGAAATTTTATAAACCCTTGCCTGGCTATACATAACCAATTAAAAAAAAAATTATTTGCAGATAAAGGCTCAAAAATAACTTTCACATCCTTTTTCAAAAATATTTCTGCTCACGAAAAATCCACACGTTGGTCGCGATGATTACCTCTGGTCTATATAAATCCGCAATTTAACTGTACTAACTGTAGGGCCACCTTGACTGGTAATTTGTGTTTCATTTCCTAACTAAATCAGTTTTAAAATGCTCTTGATTAAGAAGAGTACCCTGCTGAATTTGGTGATTTGTTTCACTCATTGGATGTGTGGCATAAGGCTGTGAAACTTACCAAGAAACTCACCAAGGTATATACAGTTTTGCTCATTGCCAATCCACTGTACGGCCCTGCTTTATGCAACAATCAATCCAGGGCTCTGTAGTATAAGTGAATGAATTGCATTTTCTAGGCTGCAAAGCCAAAGCACTGTGAATTTGTGAATCAGTGGATAGAACCCATCAGAAACCATTTCTGGCATGTTGCCGAGAACTGTGAAGGCAATGAAGAAAAATTGAATGTAGCTGGTATTATTTATGTTGTGGTTAAGCATTGTGATTCTCACAGGCAGTACTTAGTTGCTGTATTTGAGCATTGCTAAATGACTTAGATTTGTGTGAAGTATGATTATTTTATAATTGATTTACGATCATAATTCTTTCTCTGTTGCAGGATGATTGGATAGGGGTTATTCATCATGTGGCAGGAGAACATGAATGGGGCGATGGTGAATGCAACCATGGACCACTAGTTGCAGCTGAAACTGGCAAGATATTTTTGAAGAAGGATTCAAAAGCACTTGAGGCTATAAGGAGCGTAGTCCTTGACCCACGGTTTCTTAGTCCCTTGCATCATTATGTGAATTTCAGGTACTAAAAATGTACTGTATATTGCTGAGAAATACATGTAAAGAAAAGCACGATAAATTAAATTGTACCCTTGCATACTTTTATTACCTAATTTTTACAGACACACTGGTAAATTAGAAAGCTTCAATTCTATGCTGTTAAAATACGCACCGAAAAGAATTGGATTCCAGTAAGTACAATGATATGATTACAAATTAGAACTTGTCAAAGTCATTAAGGGCTTTTTTTGTTTTATATGTACTGGTACATGTAGCAATACATAAGCACATACTTTCATTGTACTGGAATAACCATCTCGCACATGACGTTTTGCAGAAATGATCCAGATGTAGTATATATTATGGCTATATTCTTGTTCTAGAAATGATGCTTTTATGGCAAGAATACAACTGGCAGTCATAGACCATGACTGTCATATATTCAGAAAGCCATTTCTAACAAAAAGTGGAAAGAATAAGTATCGAAAGTCCTACAGTAAGAGCTCGAAAAAATGGAAGATCACAAAAGTGCTTGAAGACAAAAGCTACAAATATTGGAATAATCTGGTATATAGAATTTTGGAGCTAAGGCTCAGGGATTCAAAAACAGTCCTACGGAAGGTAACTCTTCCTTATAATCATCCAAAGAAAATTTCCACTTCTATATCATTGAAGCCAATTCCACAAACAGATGAATTAGTTAAAAGTTCTCCGTTACGATTCGAAAAATCTTGAAGTGCCAATACCATTTTTACCCAAATATTTATGGTAATGTAATGTGAAATGCAAATATCGTACTTGTGGCATTATACTACAGTACCTAGAACATTTTAATAAGCAAAGGATTCAAAATTCTACAAAAGTCAATTACAATAGGTCAATTTAAGTTTTCTTTGTAATACAATGATTGTAAAAACATACTGTAACATGATAACATACTGTAAGTTTATTTCAAAATTTGTGTGGCATCTCACTCGAATGAATAATATTTGATGGGTGTAGTAGATGAAATCATCGAGTGGATTTTTATATACATTTATTAGATTTCCACTGTACAATTTTCTCAAAAATTCGATCCACTTGACAATTTCCCACTTGACAATTTCCATCTATATACCCACAGTGGTGGTGCCAAGGGGGGGGGGCAAGGGCATCCCCCCCCCCCAATTATTTTCTGCCCCCCCCCTCAAAATAAAATATTAGTCACTGAGAGCGACTAAAGTCTACACAAGCGTTTTGTCGTTATCGGAAAATGTATGGCTTATAAGTTGTCATTACTCATTAGTGAATGCGCATATACATGAAACTGTTTTTTACTGTTTCAATATTAGTTTGTAAATCTCTGAATGGTAAAACTTGCCAATACTCCA